TGCAAACTTTGAGAAATTTTGTGAGTTTTATTTATTTTTATTTAGATTGATTTGTACGTTATTTTTTGGCTTGGCTCTTTCCAGACGATATTGAGCTACCCTATCTCCTCAACTTCACTCTTTTTTCAGAGTAAGGTGAAAAAGGAAGATGTTGTACGACTTCCATTTTGCAAACACGTAGAAAATGTATAGTTAAAGACATCAGGTAAGAGGGGAACGTCATCTTTATATTTATTTTATTCAGAATAGGGAAGAATGCGGCGCACTGCGCTGAAGGACTTTTTTTCTTTTCATCAGTTTTAGCGAGGTAAGGGGTTATTTATGAATTAGAAATGTTTTGTTATATTTCTTATATTTTATATTTCTTACTCGAGTTCAACAATTTTTAGTTTGATCCTTTCAATTTGCTACTTTATTATATTATTTTTATTAGTGTAAATGTTGTAGTGTAAATATCCTTAATGCAGCCTGTAGAGCAAGCTTCAAGTGTTTATTGGGATATGTTTGAGATTGTGTTGTCATATATTTCGTCTGTCTTTTCGGGGGTTTTTTCTCCTAAGGCACGGCTTTCGAAAATGATGACATGAGACTCTGCTGGGTAGTTGCCCTGGTTTACCAGCACTTGTTAGGTCTGTAATTTCTTAGCATCTTCATAAGGGTGGTGTTGTTTTAAATGATGAAACAGGCTTGTGGTATTGCCTGCTTTTGATGACACGAGTTGTCTGCGCAGTTTGCAGTGCATGTTGCTGTTTTGTGTCGATGGCAAAAAACTACGTAGCTCATGACTGTGGTCTAGTGACTTTTCTTGTCTGTGGCTCTGACCTTTTTTACCCTTTTTTCTTACTCTCTTAAGTACAACTAACACTGTATGGCTTTAAACTTGTAAGGCCAGCGGCGTCCGGAAGGGCAGACTGCAAAATGCTTGCACAACGTTACACATAGTAGCCTACGGAAATATTATCGAGCAATCATCGAACTGTCATTATCATTTGATTTAAAAATTTTATATCGTGATAATTATCGATATCAAATCATCACCCAGCCCTAGTTGCACATGACTTATACAAATAATATGAATGTTAAATTAAGAATTTTAAATACTACTTTAAAAAAGTTCAGAATAATCACTTCCCAATTAGAGTTATACCAATTGATTCAAAGTGATATATAATAATTATGGTTATCATATTGTTCGATCCAATTACCTATAACTTACTACTGTAATTACTGTAATAATAATTTATTACTGTAATTATAAAACAAAAGACATAAAATAATACTATTATAAGTAGACATATCACTCAATAATACTATTAACCTGTAGTAATACTACTACTACTACTACTACTACTACTACTACTACTACTACTACTACTACTACTACTACTAATATATTTTATATAACAACAGTAAAGTTTCAGTTACTTCCATATTTGCTTCAAGAGGGAAAGCAGGAGGTTGCCGCTTGATCCAAACCCCTCTCGTCTTTTGATTGTTTTATGTTCAATATACTTGAATTTGTAAAAGTTTAATAAGTTAACTTAATTCTTTCATGTTGCCCCAACACAAATCGATTGTGTGGAACCCAGCATTTTTACAGTGTAGTTTATATAAGTACAAAACAGACTTTTAATTTTTTTAATCATTTTTTGAGTGCAGTGCTGTTTTTCACATTTAGTGCTCAGCGAGTGTTAATTCCATGGGAACTAGGTGTCTGTAACACATCAGATGAACCTGACCTTGTTAACTGTAAAAAAAAAAAGTCTGATTCGTCATGGCCCAGCCTGATATTCCTAAAATGAGCCACAGTCACAAGTCCGTCATATCAGCATGACAAACATTCAGATATAATAACATATTTCCTCTGCTATCTTACAGTTATCTCAATATAGTTCATAGGATCATGAGGTGTTTGGCGTTCCAGAGAGGTTGGATGGAAAGCAGGATGCTGTAATTTGTTCATCGCATGCTAAGTAGGTGCCACATTCCCAGGTGGCAGGTGCTGACAGCTCCATCTTGGAGGCAAAGCATGGGTGAGATTCAGTTCTTTGAAGAGAACGGGACATGATGGACTGGATTTGTATGATAGGCCACAAACAAAGGGCATTTAAAAGGGCGTCGTGCCTGTTTGGATGTTTACTAGGACTTTAAACCAAGTTAAGCTCAGCTGAAGTTGAAGGTCGGTTCAGGTGAGCTTGAAAATGCAGAGTAATTGTGAGTCGGTATGAATAACATGCAGATTTAAATCTGTTTTGTAATGTTTATTCGCTAATTTGGCTTTAGATTAGTTTAGTAAATGCCTCAAAAGCTGGAGCTAAATCTGGATTAGTTGCTTTTTTTCTACACTGGCTACAATGTGGAGTATAAGGGATCCTTTTGATTGATAGAGTGATGCATGCAGCTGTTGTTTATTGGACCTGTTTTTAAATTTACAGTGGAAAGTGACTCTGGGTTATCTAATTCAGTTTACATTCTAAGTGCGTTATATAAACATCTTATTTGTGCATTATTGAGTTACCAAATTGCTATTGTGTAACTACTCAACAAGTCTTCCAAATTTAGAATGATATGTATAAATCCTGTGGTTGCAGGTGTTTTTCTGAACCACTGGGAATAATGTTTCAGTATTATTTATACATCGCATACTTTCATTCAGTTATAGAAGCTGTTTAAATTAGTTTAATTATCTGACTAATTATCTGGTTTTAGTTTCCTATAGACAATAATTGTTGGCTATAATAAGTATTTGAGACAGATGGTTGATGTTTACATCAAGAGCCATTAGAAATGTAACAGGAATATCTGCAATCATCCAGGACTGCTATTTTCTATGTCTACAAAACTTTTTTTCTATCCGAAATAAAGCAAACAAGACTTTCTTCAGAAGAAAAAATATTATCAGACAAACTGAAAATTTCCTTCCTTATTCAAAATTCAAAGGGGGCTAAATTCTGACTTCAACTATATATATATATATATATATATATATACATATATATATATATATATATATATGCAAGATTAAATTCCATACAAATAATCTAATTAATCTAAAACTATGAATTTTTTTCAACAAGGTTGAAAGGTTGAAAGGTTTTTTTCAACAAACATGATATTGCAATGTCTGTTTTTTCCAATATTGTGCAGCCATGAAAAATAAGCAGTTAAAAATAGTAGAAATAGAGAAAAAATGTATGCACACAATTCTTAAACATTTAGTCATTATAAATTACTTTAGTGAGATAAAGTTGACTCAAGACAGTTGACTTGAAGGTATACGCTGTAAACAATAAATTAAAAAAAAATTCTTTGGACTTTATTTATTTATTCTTCTGAATTGCATTATGTGACCTTGATATTTAATCTGGCAACTTTAATGTTGTAAAGTTTAACAAAGTGACTTTTATGGACATTTTTTAGTAGTTTGTGTGGGTTGGCCATTTAAGCTGGCCCTTTTTTAACACATTTTCTCTCATTTTACAGATTTATTTCTAAACATATTATTAATTTTTAAACAATAAATTAATTCTAAAAAATTTATTTAAAATTAAAATTAAAATTTTAAAAATTCCTAAAATTAAAATTAAAATTCCTTTGTTATACATATTAGCATCAAAAGTTGTCTGAGCAGAGATCCCGAAATGCACTTCAGTTACGAGCAACTGTAAAGTTACTGATATTTTTTAGGTTTACATTAATAAATAAACCAAAACATTGATGTGTGGATAAAAATATACTCTTTATTTTACATCTCACTCATTAGGCAAATAGTAATTACCATATAAATTGTAATCAGTATCAGAATTGTAAATTGGCAAACACTTTATGAAAGGACAGTCAGATCAGTTGTTGAAAGCTACTGAAACATATACATGTTGGCTGACCCATATTTTCTTTCTCTGCCAATGTTCTGTAACAGGTCTCTTTGTATCTTGTTTCAGTGTAAAGCACAGCCTCAGGTGTTAGACATCAGTTAGAGGGATAATCACTCTCTTCATGCATCAGCAGCATCACATTCAATATTGTTTGTAACATTATTCAGGCGGAAATTGTACCATGTAGCCAGACCGATCTTTTTTTAGATATGTGACATTTTGTTCAGAATTAGTGAGATTAGGCATATATATGTACTACAATATATGCACATATAAAAATTTTAAGTTTAAAAAAAAAAAAAAAAAAATTAAACCACATTTTTTTAAGCTGTTTTGAGTGGAAATGTATGGAAACCTGTTTCTGCAATTGAATAAAAAATGTTTATTGCACTCACAGTCAAATAGACAATAGAAATAAAAATTTATTGAGTTGGAAAGCAAAACAATTTTTTTGTATAAGTAAATGTTACATATCTGACCTTTTTCCTTTCAGAATCAAATCATATATACAGTAATGGTCCGAAATGCAACTTTGTTGAATTGCGAGATAATGTCTTGCCGATTTGACTTTATTTTCACAGAATTGCAAGTTTATGATTTAAAAAAATGTTTATAGCCTGAAAACTGACTGATATTCTGTGAACTTGAAATTGTGAGGGAAGAAAGTTTGAATTGTCTTAAACCTTTTTTTGTCAGATATAAACTTGGGACCATGAGACGTTATTCATTGTGAGCACAGAATAAAGCATGTTTTTTTTGGTCATCTTGTGTATGTACACAGTTCTTAAGTAAATCCTAAAAAATTCCTAAAAAAAAGTCCTATCAGATATAGACTACTTGTAATTTGCCTTTTTGTACATACGTTTACTAAAAATATAAAACCATATCATGAAATACACCTTTGTGGTGACAAAAAGTGAATCATTTCTCCACAAGTGCTTTTTGCAATTTAGCTGTAAACACACTAAAGAACATGTGGTTATGTGATGAGGATGTGTTGTTGACGAGTCTTGATCACCAGCCACTCACTATTCTTTGTTCTCTTTTCTAATGACATGCTAAGCAACGTTGTTCCCTGCCTCAGCACCTCTCTTCATCTCCCCTTTCACTCATTTTCATTTGCAGGGCTCTCCAGCAGAGGGCACAGGGAAATTTGATGCAGCTCCTGGTAAGCATGCCACACTTTTATCCAGTTTCTTAAGGCTTCACCGGCCCGCCTGACCTTTATTCACAATTACATGAATAAAACATTCAAAGCAATTGCAACACAGATATTGACAAGAGCAGCACATTTTTTTTAAAGCTTGACAGTTTTTAATATGTATATACTCACAATTTATTAATAACAGATATTCATTAATCAGAGCAACACGGCTGCTGTGAAGGCTTTGTCAAAGCAATTTAAACCAAAATACACAATGACACTCTATCAAACATCTACATTGAAAAGTAATATGGTTACTTACTAAGATATTAATACACAGCAATACCACACAAAGAAATGACGGACTTTGAAGAAATAAACAAAGTCAGGAATGCTCCCTTATAGTGCAGACAAATTGGTCAAGCACCGGACAAGTCTGGGGAAGTTCCCACGCATGCACGAGGCAGGCAGATCTGTACAGTTACGTAATCTATCGGCTTAAAGATATCGTCCTAACCTTGATATCGGATCAACAATAACATTAAGAATAGTATTTATCGGCCGATAACGATATGGCCGCTGATATATCATGCATCTCTGATATATACAATTGATATATAAAATCCTGATATATAAATATATCAGATATAAGATATATAATATATACAGTATATAAAATTCTATCAAAAATAGAAATGTCTCTTTACATCCATCTATCCAGTCTAGTCTAACATCAGCAATTTGATTAGTACACTTTAAAGTATCATTCGAAGTAACGCTCTATTTTTTTTTGATAATAGGTTTTTATAACTCTCGGAGAGTTTAACAGTCGTTGATTTCATTCAGCGGATCTGGTGGGAGCACTTTTAGCTTAGCTTAGCATAGATCATTGAATCAGATTAGACCATTAGCCTCTTGCTAAAAAATAACTAAAGTTTCTGTTATTTTCCAATTTCCCACTTCCAACTTGAGTCTGCGGTAGTTTTATTGTGTACTAAGGCAGACCCGAAATGATAAGTTGCTATTTTTTAGTCCGACATGTCTAGAAACTATACTCTCATTTCTCTGTAATAAGCCAGAAACTGCTGCCATACCATGGCTGCAGCAGGCACAATGATATTACACAGCCCTTGACAATTATCTATGCTAAGCTAAGCTAAGCTAAGCTAAGCTAAAAGTGCTGCCGCCAGAGCTGGAAATTAGCTGAATGGATTTTTAAAATGGTAAAACTGTTTAACTCTAGGGCAGTGGCTTTAAAAATGTGGTACGTGTATACCACTAGTGATAACACAGATGATAACACCGATATGATCAGTAAAAATTTTTTAATAGGCTAAACCTTTTACTTTATTTTCAATTTTCCAATGTTTGTTATGTATTCTATCATTTGAAGCTAATTTTCTCCCCATATTTGTAACAGTTGTTGGGGGCATATCCTGCATTTTTATATATTCCAATGATGACAGGTAAAGTTGAATGAATTTTCTGACACACAAAGCCTAAGCAGATCTGAATTCATATATTTAAAATACAAGTTAATGTTTAGATTTCAAAGATATACAAATAAGTCATATGTACATGTAACATATATTTTAAAATATACCAAGGAACATTTCCAGGTTTTGATTAATAGGTTACTATTTGTTAATACTTTACATTCAAGTACTGCAGTTTTCTTTTTACTTTTTAGGAACAGTGCCATTTTTAATTAGGTTTTGAAAGCATGTTTTAATTTAAACGTTGACGTTTTACCTGTTTTTTTTTTTTTTTTTTTTTACCTGTAAGCACAGTACAGTGTTAATGTTCGATCTTGTTATAATGGTTAAAGTGGCTGACAATAATAAATATTCATAATTATAAGATTTAATCTACCCTACTCTATTTCAATAACCTGTCATTATGGTGGTACTTGGAGGAACAATTATTTTCTGAGGTTGTATACTTGATGAAAAAAGTTTAAGAACCACTGCTCTAGGGTATTTTATACAATTTTCAAAAAAAGTGGAGTGTTCCTTTAAGCCTCGATCAAAACATTAATATATAATAGTAAGGAATAAAAGCTGTCTCATGTCTTGATGCAAGCGACTTATGAGTAAGCAATCACAAACAGACTCTCTCTGTCTTCCTCTCTGGCTTGAGTCATTGTTGAATCAGGATTTGCACTGCCAGGCCCCCATTTCCTTCCGTTCATCCATCTTTCCTTGATATTTGTGCCAGCCAGCGGAGAACACAGTGATTACAATCTTCCTAGAACTTAAAAAGCCCTCGGGTCACTGTATGACCATTAATAATGCTGTTGTTCTCAGCAAAGTCTAATAGTAATTCGGTAAAGCTAATGCAATGGTTCTCAACAGTGACCAAAAATGTCACAGGGAAGGTCGAAAGTAATGATAAATGCAATTATAATAGCTATTTTTGATAGCTTTTACCCTTTTTTTCCCATCTCACTCATGTTTGTATGTGACTTAAAGCACGTCCACCCTGTAGGCGCACTGTATCTGCTGTGCGAGTAACACCGTTGAGGATCATGAAGAGTTCTCCTGACCTCATGCCTACTGGTAAGAAGAGCATTTGGGGATTTTCGAGTTTAATGGACATTTTGCATGCTTTACTTGGTGCTTTGAAAAGATTAAGTGAGTTTTGTTGGTTTTTCAGAGCTGGACCCGACCCGTGTTTGCAAGGGCAAGGGTGCAGTTACTTTGAGGGCCACGTTAGTGCACATCGATGATGAGGACGGCACAAGCCAAGAGCCATCCGTCAGCCCTGCCAAAGGTGAGTCGGCAATGTATCATTAGGAGAGTGCTCTGAATATATTTCATGAAGCAGGATTAAGACTGAGAAATTGATTTTATGGTTTAATTTGAATGCAATGTTTTGCTCTTGTATTTTATTATTATTGAGGAATCACAGTTTTTAATAAAAAACTTACAATTAGACATATTGACAACATGCCAATATGCTTGGTGGTGCACTTGATTAGCCAAGAAACTTATCCATTTGAAAATAACTACTTTGATGTACAGTGCATGACTACAGATGTGCCCATGTTTTGCAATAGTTTTTAAGCAGTTTGGACAAGGCCTTAAAGTACTATTTCCACAGAATGCATAATAGCAGTAGCATTTGCCTTTAAAGAGTGATGATTTGTTTTACATTTACAAATTTGACCACTTTATGTGTGATGCACTTGGATTGAAACTTCTGTCAGTTTGACGACTATGCTTAGCCACGCCCATCCAACAATTAGTTTTCAGTGTGTGAAAGATGATAGAAGGAATGCAGAAATAAAACCCAGCCCCCTACTCAATATTTAATTTCAGTTGTAAATCATATTGACGTAAAAATCAACAACAAGTTCTAGTTCACCCGAACCTTAAATGGACGAAGTCTGATGTCAAACATCGAAATGTCATTCTCAGAAACAGCACACATTCTGGCTTCAAAAGTGGTGCACAGGTGGTAAAACGATTAACTGTTGTCCAGCCGTGTGTCACCTACAGCTCACTGATGTCAAAGGGCTGCAGAGACTTGAGCATTGATCATAGTGACTGAAGGGTCACAGTGCAACAAATCACCAGCAGCTACAACAGTGGTGACCAGAGTAATGTGTCAAAGCACACAGTTCGTTACAGAATTCTGTGTAGCCGATGACCTAACCAGGTCCTCATGGCAGCTGTACAGCATTGCCAATAAGGCTTGAAATTGGCCTAAAGTTATCAAGATGGAACTGTTGATAGGTGGAAGCAAGTGGCCTAGAATGATGAAGCAATATTGCTGGTGCATCATGCCAATGTGTACAAACACAGTGATTATCAACAGAGGCTACGGCACTGGGAGACACCATTGGGCAACAACAACCCACAGCAGCAGTTTTATGCTGTGGGTGATGTTTTCTAGGGACGCATTAAGCCCCATTATCCCAACAGCACAATCCCTGACAGCTGTCAGGAGTGTGATTATTGATACAGTGCATCCATTCATGGCAACAGGATATTGCAACGTGCCAGACTGCCAGTGTCATCAAGAATGGTTTTAAGAAAAATGTAGCTAAATTTCTGTTAATGCACTGGTCTTAGAATTCACTTGACAGGATCCCAGTCAAATATTTAGGGTTTAACTTGGAAAAACAGGTGAATGCTGAATCAACACCACAATATATGGAAACTGGAGGTACTAATTTTGGGATTATGGTACCATATTTCACAGAAAACCTACTGCCACCAAAGTAAATCAATGTGACTGCTGTTTTGTGGGCCAAATAGGTTGCACTTGTGACTAGCTGTGTGGCCATAATGTTATGACTGACGTGTATTTAATTTAATTTAATTTAATTTAATTTAATTTAATTTAATTTAATTTAATTTAATTTAATTTAATTTAATTTAATTTAATTTAATTTAATTTAATCATTTTCTTGTCGGCTTAGTCCCTTTATTACTTTCGGGGTCCCCACAGCGGAATGAACCACCAACTTATCCAGCACGTTTTTACGCAGCGGATACCCTTCCAGCTGCAACCCATCTCTGGGGAACATCCACAAACACCCATTCACACACACTCATATACTACAGACAATTTAGCCTACTCAATTTACCTGTACCGCATGTCTTTGGACTGTGGGGGAAACCGGAGCACCCGGAGGAAACCCATGCGAACGCAGGGAGAACATGCAAACTGTACACAGAAACGCCAACTGAGCCGAGGATCGAACCAGCGACCCCATCGACATTCTTGCTGTAAGGCGACAGCACTACCTACTGTGCCACTGCTTCGCCCCTAATTTAATTTAATTTCATTTAATTTCATTTAATTTCATTTAATTTCATTTAATTTCATTTAATTTCATTTAATTTTTTAATTTTATTTTTCATTTTTAAATTAAATTAAATAGAATTTTTATTTCATTTTCATTTATGTATTTATTTATTTATTTATTTTTTGGAATCTGGTAGCTACAAAACATGCACACTAAAAAGTAATTATTAACTGGATAAAATCTCTATTTATAGGAGTGGTGCTTTCTAAAGCATCCTCTTGACACATTATTTTGACAGTCAATGGGGATTATGTGGTTATTTTCCAAACAGATCTAAACTGTGCTGTAAATCACACAGAAAATTTTGTATTCACTTGAAACATGAACAGCATTGTTTGACAGTCAGCTTCATTGCTCAAATAACTGTTCATATTAACAGGGGACAATCAAAGATGCCTTTTGTTCACACCCACTTTGAGCTCTGGAAATGGGGACCTTCTGCGTGGACGTTTTCTCCATCTCTATGGTGGAACTATCATGGCCGCCTGCCAGCACTTGGGAGAGATGCCTTAATTGTTGTTGTGCCTGAATAAAAAGGCCATTGGAACAAACACTTCTTACAGTGGGTTCAATGGTCCCCTTGTTCTCGTGACAAAGTTCAGAGACTCGTTTTTTTCCAGTCATAAATTAGCATCTCTGTGGAGGAAGACTTTCTGTGTGGTTCAGTTCTGACAGATTCTGGCTGGCGATTCGCTTAATGGAGGATTAAGGAATCTTGTTGTGGCATAAATTCTGGTTTGTGCTGGAAACAAACAGCATCGCTGCCAAGCGCAGGCAGCTTTACTTCACATTTATGACTTTTTAGGTTGTAAGAAGTTCCTTGGAGATGCACAGATCCTATGAGAATGCAAACTGTTTGGGTTTGTTGCAGGTGGATGGATTGGTACGGTCAATGGAGATGCCACAGAAACAAGTCTGGCTGAGAGAAGTGTAAACAACACCAGAGCTGATTTAAATTCAACTCAAGTCAATGAGACACCGACTAAGGTGAGTCACCATGTCTGAGCCTCTTCTTTGTTAGCAATTCTTGGCTGTCTTGCAAAAATGTCATTTAGAAGCTATTATAAGTGCTAATTAAACAGAGATGACTCTGAGGAACTCCTCAATTTTTAAGCCATTTAAAGTGTAGAGACTTAAATGTTTCCAATATTTTAAAAGGAAGATGGCATTTCTAGACCTATTTTATATTCAATTAAAAATTTCCCAGTTTAAGATAAAAAAATGCTCTTAAACTGCATGATGTGACCTCGCTCTCTGCTTTGACAGCTTTTGATATTAAACAGTTTAACAGAGTGACTTCTATTGACATTTTTTAGTTGATGAAATGATGTTGGTCATATAAATTACAGAATTGAGCTAGCTGCTACTACTTTTTTTTTTTAAATGGAAATTACAGTTTCAATATCAAGTTAAATTTATAGTATCAAAAGGTGAAGCAACCGAAGTCAAGGTACCATAATCACTTTATGCATTCATTAAATTACTATCTGCTGTACTAATTAATTCCATTAAAATAATGATAAGTTTTGTTAGTGAAAAATTTGAATGAATAAAATATTAATATTAACTGGAAAACATGCAACAAATGAAAATGTTGCCTTTGCAACTGATTGAATCAAAATAAAGTTGAAGCTAACTAAGTAAAATGACCAAAACTAACACTAAATAGAAACTAAATGAAATAAAACTAGGGCTAAACAACAAACGCAAAATGACTCAAACTAAAATGAAAATGTGATTAATGATTTAATTAATTAATGATGATTAATAATTACTAAATAGAATAAAGATATTAATACATTCTGGGATATAATTTAAATATAAAAGTAACACTACCTGTTTAGTTATTTTTAATACAGGTTTTTATAAACTAATCATTAAAACACATGGTTTTGATGACATTCTATATGAGACACAATTAGAAGTAATCAAATGAAGTGTTATTGTGCAATTGTTATTGTCTTCAGCAGCATTGCAGATGAATCTTTGTGAAAGTCATTTGCTTGGGAGAGATGCTCAGTGAATGCAAAATCTATGTAAATCCTCACTCAAAGGGGAATCCTGGGAAATTTAAAGTTGTCTATATTAGCTCACATCCAGCATGTGTCACTGAAGTCGTGTGTGTCTCCTCAGCAGGATTCTGCTGTAAGTGAGAGTCAGTTTCAGCTCACGTCCTGCCTTGATCAGCCGAGTGCTTTTAACTCATCAGCCAAAGTGTCCTCTTCATTCCCTCCGACCAGCAGCGTCAACCCTACAATCGTCCTGCTGCAGCACAACAGAGGTAAATACAGTACCAGCCTCACTATACCTCAGGTGGGACATCAGAAGTAAAGTATCAAATCATGATACACAACTAAATGCATTTGATCATTTTTTTCCAGCTATATTTGAGTTAAGTCAATGGCATCTGTGATTTGATGGACAAGATCTCTGTAGGTGTTATCAAAGCTGCTATGAAACATTTTTTTTGTGTGGTAAGATGGAACTTAACGTTTTCCATTAGAAATTGATTAGATGGTAAGATTGTGGTTATTTGCGAGTCTCATGTAACTGACAGGTTGTCCTGTCCACTGTCAATGAAAAGGATCAGGGAAGATATGTTGATACAATTTGTTGCATTGGAATTACAAGGTTCTATTAGTTTTCTAAATGATTTTGAGATATTGAGCTTTGAAGTTTTGCATTTCATATAGCAAACAATATGTGTGTAACAGTTCTCTTTCATACATTAACATGACAGAGAGCTTGAATATATTCTTAATGTAAAGGATCAAAGTTCTCTTCAATTTGCAAATTGGGGTAAAAATAAAAACAGGGCAAATGCAGATAGAAGCTTCTAATTCAAGAAAGTAATTTTCCACTTGGAATAATAAGGTTCTGTCTGGTAGATCATTAATTGAAGCATTACTTTAAAAAAAATACAGAAAATCTGTCTGCTTATTAATTCAATACACATAAATAAATAAATTGGTGTTGTAACAAAATGTTGATGATTGAGAAAGTTACATTTTTGCTTTCCATAACATTGATGTAATGTTTCAGGATGAAGATTTTTTTCTTGATCAAATTAAGCATACAGTGTAAGGTTGTGCTAAATATTTTGTCCTGTGCAGATGTTAATTCTATGTAATTAATATGGTAATATTTATTGTTGTAATTAAGACCCCATGAATCAAATTCATTATTTGCCCTTCAAAGCTTAATATCAAATTTAAAGACTTTAAAAGAAAACAGACAATTCGCAAATGAGTTGTTTGACAAAGTTTTATAAACACTGAAAAAGTTTCACTGATTATACACAAATTAAAACATTTCATACTTAATATAAGTATATATATTAGAAGGTCGCTGGTTCGAGCCTCGGCTGAGTCAGTTGGTGTTTCTGTGTGGAGTTTACATGTTCTCCCTGCGTTTGTGTGGGTTTCTTCCGGGTCCTCTGGTTTCCCCCACAAGTCCAAAGACATTCGGTACAGGTGAATTGGGTAGGCTAAATTGTCCATAGTGTATAAGTTTGAATTAGTGTGTATGGATGTTTCCCAGAGATGAGTGGCAGCTGGAAGGGCATCCGCTGCGTACAACATATGCTGGATTAGTTGGCAGTTCATTCCGCTGTGAACTGCAACCCCAGATTAATAAAGGGCCTAAGCCGATAAGAAAATGAATGAATAAATGAAATGTAAACAACTTGTACAAAAACATCACATAAAGTAAATAAGTTGTCATTTAATAAGAATATGAATAATTCAATTTTGACAAGAATGTCAGATAGAACCTTACAATTCTAAGGTGGCGAAGTGGTAAGGGAAGTAATTTTGATTAAATAATTCAAGAAATAACAACTTGCACAGGTCTACAATATATACTGAAATATATACTGTTGGATTTGCTCTTCAGTGTTTCGGCTTTCAGCAGTAGCAAGTTACACTGAACTGAACTAAACTGAACTTCAACTGTGAAAACTGGACTGAAGCAAGTTTCAATTTTTAGACCTTCATCTACAATAAGCTGCAATTGAATTGAATTGTTTTTTTTTTATTATACTGAAATATTTTAATGAAAATGCCTGTAAATGATGCAATGCTGAAATCAAGAAGTCACTGGTTTTAATTTAGTTGTGCATCTACAGTACAGTGTTTGCTGTTTTTTGAGTCTGCAAGTGCCTGTAGCCATTCACTTGCATTTTATGGATCACCGAGGCCCATGGTTTCATCTATAGGTAAATACATTTTTATGTGTTGCTGGAAAATAAGAATAACCAGCAAGTGAGTCTATTAAAAGCAGTTTTTATTTTTTGTTTGAACAATCCCTCTAAATTCTTCAATGATACCTTTGAAGTTAGTGTGGCCATTGTGTATCTCATGATGTGTTTTCGTGGTTTATTCCCAGTGTTTGTGCTTATGCGTTTCAGAAGCTGTGGCAGAGCAGGGCAGTGGCCTGTATCAAGGTCCTGCCATCATCCAGAACAGACCTTCATCTGAGACTCCAGCAGACATGGAGGGAAAAACAATGAGCCTGTCTGAACGTCCAGCCGTCCAGCCACCCAGAGTCCCAGTACGGGTAAGAAACACCCGCTTCTAGTGCTCAAGATGCTGATGTCGAATTTGTAGTTTTGGAGACTTTTTAACTTTTAGATCCAACTAACTTCTGTAGTTCTCCAGCTGTAATTGTTATAGTAGTTGTAGTTGTAATGCAATTCACAACCGTAACTTGTGAATCACAAAGTATGCAAGCTTGGATATGGATATGGAATATAATAGGAAAACATGGATCGTTTTTACAGTACAAGTAAGATTGGCTTATGTGTTTCCTCAAACAGTTTAATTTAGGATACAATTAATCTTGATTAATCTTTTGAAAGCACTATTAAAAATATTTAGCAATGTTATTTGTAGGGGTGCCAGTATTTTTGGTAAATTTGTGCTGGGTTTGCAATTGTTTGTTCTTACAATGAGACCAGAATGTTTAGGCTCAGATTTACCAAGGGTACAAATATTTGTGTAGGCCACTATAAATAAACCACCATTTCTTCTTCTAGAACACTGAGCTCTCGAAGGACTGGTACAGAAACATGTTCAAACAGATTCACAAAGTCCCAGGTAAAGATGCTCTGTGAGAATGACATGCATTTAACAGTTTTCATTGTATTGTGTGTGAATATGTCCCGGTCATATCTCAGTCATGTATATATGTGTGTATTCATCTTTGTCAGTGTGTTTTGTCTTTCATCCACCTTAAATTCAGAGCCTGTTGAAGAAAATCCATATCGTCCCACCTACATATTCCCAGAGACCAATGACAGGCCCCTGAGAAGCAGAGGTATATTAGAAATAGTTATTATCTGATCTTTAATAACAAACCAATTTTATTTTTGTTGATGATTATATCTTTTATAGAAATATATTTGATTTGAGAATCAATCTATCAGTCTATCATGCTATCTATCTATCTATCTATCTATCTATCTATCTATCTATCTATCTATCTATCTATCTATCTATCTATCTATCTATCTATCTATCTATCTATCTATCTATCTATCTATCTATCTGTCTGTCTGTCTGTCTGTCTGTCTGTCTGTCTGTCTGTCTGTCTGTCTGTCTGTCTGTCTGTCTGTCTGTCTGTCTGTCTGTCTGTCTGTCTGTCTGTCTGTCTGTCTGTCTGTCCGTCCGTCCGTCTGTCTGTCTGTCTGTCGGTCTGCCGGTTGGTCTGTCGATCTGTCTGTCTATCTATCTTTATCTTCATTTATCCATCCATCCATCCATCCATCCATTCATCCATCCATCCATCCATCCATCCATCCATCCATCCATCCATCCATCCATCTATCCATCTATCTATCTATCTATCTATCTATCTATCTATCTATCTATCTATCTATCTATCTATCTATCTATCTATCTATCTATCTATCTATCTATCTATCTATCTATCTATCTATCTATCATCTATCTATCGGCGTTAATGTCACCTTTAATAGATTTAATAAGTTCTTGCTGGATAAACATATTCATTAAAAAACATTTATGACTTTTGCAGTTACTTAAAAATTGATCAATTTTAGCCTTTTGATGATGAATTTACCTCAATCTTCCGTCCATTCCTTCACAAATCCCAATATTCAATAGCAGCTGATTTATACAGTGTCAGCGAATTGATTGTACTAAAGTAGCATCACTCAAGGTGAGCTGTGGTTATAGAGCTATTTTCACCACACTTTCCACACCATGTATTTAAATCTCATAGATTGATCACTTTCATTTTAAGAGCTTCCTGTGATGTGTTTCATAGCTGTGCTTTTAGAGAACCACTAATCTAAATTATTAAAGAAGCCACAACAAACCTAATGGATTCTGAAGAATGCAAAATTAGACATGAGCTGCTCTAAAGTATTCAATTCAGCCTGTATTTACTGAGTAATCGCCATTAAAATGCCTAATGTGGTGAAAACGTCTTGTCATTTACAGTTTTTCTTAGTCGCTTTAGTGCATTTTTGACAACACTATTTACATTTGCGCAACAGTTAATTAATTTCTCAAAACTATTAGTAGAAACTGCAAAACCTATAGTTGAAAACCCGCAACAGCATGTCACTTGCTCAAAATGGAGAGCTCATTCCTCAAAAGCAAGTATTCAGTGCCATCAAGATGAAAAGTCCTGACACCATTATGAACAAGATAGTCAAATGGCTTTGTCATGTTTTCATTATGATAGTTTACCCTGTAAGTTTTTCCAATGCAAAAAAGTCAGATTTTGGTGACACTTCCTGAAAATGCTCAAGACAGCACTATATACTATTTGCACAGCCTTTTAAAAACTACAGTGAAGTTAGACATCACTGCATTTAGTAAGGTATCTGAGTACAAGACAGTGAATATGTATGTTTCACATTTTTACTGCATATGCTCTTTGCAATTCTAATTTATGCACAGCATTGTGCAGAATAATAAATACACCCTTATTTACAACAAACATAAACTTCCTTTGGATAGAGCTTTGCACAACTGTATACAATATTGCAGTATTGGAACTGAACCTATACATACATAGGTCTGTAAATCATTCATGAAATTGTTCAATATAGAAGACATTTTCAGGAAAAAAATATTTAAATTTGTTATAAAAATTAGCTTGACAGATTTTGACAACTAGTTTAACATTTTTGTATGTAATGACTAAAGTAATGAAATTAGGACTATTCGGGTAATTTGGAATAACTATTCAGCATTCACATGTGTAGTTAATTTTGACTAGCATGACATAAGCAAATGATAATTTTATAAAACAGCAGATAGTTGTATAAAAGCAATTGATGCATGTCCAAAAGCAATGCAATTTGTTGGAAGGAATGAGAAACTGCTACTATGATGTGCACAGATGACTAATTGTTTTGAGAAATGCAATAACTGTTGTGCAAATGTAAACTGTGCCACTGAGTAAAACTGTAAAGTAAAAGACAGCAGACTTTTCATAAAGTGCTTTATTTTTCTGTCTAATGTAATAACAACATTTAAAATAAACTTTTAAGTGTTATGTTTGTTGCACATTATCAATGTCTGTTAATGTCAGTTACAAAATATGTTTGAATGCTGTTTTGTCAAATTGAGTTTTTTTCCCCCGCTACTTCACTCCATATTTTTCCACTTCAGTAGATCTTACAAACACCAGACTTCACAGTTGCATTCATAGATGTATCCTAAAGGTTATTAGAAAGGGATATGTGCATAAACATATAATAATTAAATAACACATTTTGTTCAACAATATATATATATATATATATATATATATATATATATATATATATATATATATATATATATATATATATATATATATATATTTACTTATTAATTTATTCATTTGGAGTATTGTTTTTAAACTGTGGAATGATAAACAATCAATTCCCCAAATTCCCTTTGTAAAACATTTGACTAAAATATGTAAAAAAAAAAACAATAAAAAAACGTTTAGATTTAGACTCTTAGATTTCTGTGCTAGAAATAAGAACATGTTGCGCTTTATTTGCATATTTATCAAAGTATTTTAGAAAGTTTGTAATACAAAATATTTACAATCATAATTTAATAAATCAACTGTGAAAGTATGATGAAAATTATTATTATTATTATTATTATTATTATTATTATTATTATTATTATTATTATTATTATTAGTAGTAGTAGTAGTAGTAGTAGTAGTAGTAGTATTTGCTAGAACGGCTAACAGAATGTTCCAGCATGAGAAAAACACACCGCTGGTTTGTAGCGCCATCTGCTGGTGTGAGGAAATAAAGAGGCCTTGTCGTGGATCTGTTGTTTACCTGATAATTATTTCTATCGCACGAATCCCTTTAATTTAAACTTACTCAGTGTTAGATGTTTTGAAAACCTTTCGGAGAAACTCATATAGGGCACACGCAACAAACTGCTTAGGAATGTGTTTGATATGAATGCAATACTGTAAGTTCCATGTTTTCCAAATATTTTATAAACATGTTGTCATGTGTTGTCTTTTTCATTATTATTATCAATTATTTAGTGTAACAAGTCTTTTCTTCCTTTTCCAGATGATAGACCTTCATATGGTGGTGAGGATGGTAAGTAAAAAACAACACATAGGCTACTGTATTTTCCAGAAGCTGCTTTTAATCACCCAAAATGTAAATCACCATGATTCTGAATAAACTAACAATGATGATTTGTTTGTTTTGCTTAAAATAAAGATCTTTCTTTGATGAGAGATTCTCCCACAATTTTGAATAGACAAAAAAATAACAAGTAGACAAGTATTAATATGAATACACATTTATTTAGACAAGTATTTTGAATAAACAAGTATATTGGATAGACAAGTAAAAAATTTAGTCTTGTTTTTGCGTATTAATACTATATGTTCAACCCTATTTTTTATGTTTTGAGGACTTGAAATATTTGAGTAAAAATATGTTTAGAATGTATGTAAAGTTAAAGATTTTGTTCACCTATTTCACATTATAAATGAATGAAATGAGGTGACTTGAACAACTTCTTTCTCTTTAAAATGCAAACTCAAATTACCCCTTGGAAATTATTTTCTGGAAAATAGAGCAGAATACATGTTTTTATATAAAGTGAAGAAGTGTTTGTGTAGTTCTAATTTCTGTTATTTTAAAGTTCGGACAGTTCCTCGCTCCAGGAGTGCTGTGGACATGGGGAGCTCCAGAGGACAGCAGCCTGTGCCAACACGAACATCTTCACTCAAACCTCAGAGGTTAGCAAACAAAACTCATGATTTATGAAGATGATTCCAGCACATTTATTGAGTGCTGTTCTGGAGCTTTCATATGAGAGTGTGAGTTCTTGCACAGTGCTGGTGTTGCTCAACATAGACATGATGACATTTCTTCAAGTCTTTAATATTGGAAGTATTTCACCATTTGTCATCCTGCTCTGACAAGCATGTGCGGGCTTACAGATTTTACTGTTTGCTGTTAAAATTCACAATGGCTTATATATAGATGTTACCTGTTTATTTTAGTCATCAGTGTTCACCAGCAGAGAATTTATTACCACACGGCGGCTTTGCCTTGTATCTGAGAAAATAATATTAAGATTTATAGAGTAAAGTGAAACCTAAAATGTTTGAGATTATTGAAAAAAAAAGTTATCAGATTTCAAAATTATAAAAGGAGATTAGCATGTTTTATCATACTGAAAAAAGACATAATAAAAAACTGATACAGATTCAACATAATCATGAGAAAAATATGATATAAATACTAAATACTAAATACTAAAAATATTTATAAATACTTTGGTATTTTAAGAATTAAAAGTTAATAATTTAATTAAAAATTAATCCTATTTCTGGCGACGCAGTGGGTAGCACGTTCGCCTCACAGCAAGAAAGTCTCTGGTTCGAGCCTTGGCTGTGTCAGTTTACATTACTGTGTGGAGTTTACGTGTTCTCCCCTTGTTAGCTTGGGTTTATGTGTGCTCAGGTTTCCCCCACAGTCCAAAGACATGTGGTATAGGTGAATTGGGTATGCTAAAATTGACCGTAGTGTATGTGTGTGTGTGATGTTTCCTGGTGATGGGTTGCAGCTGGAAGGGCATCCGCTGTGTAAAACATGTGCTGGATAAGTTGGCGGTTCATTCTGCTGTAGCGACCTCAGATTAATAAAGGGACTAAGCCGAAAAGAAAATCAATAAATGAATCCTACTCATTCTGAAAACGTATCTGTAGATCATAAATTATGTAGCCAGATGTACATATGGCTGCATTTCGTCTTTGAAACAAACAATATGGGTCGGTATGATTCAGGCAGCTTTTTGCACTACCAGCTGACAGCTTACCTCTGTATGGACGGCTTTCCCACTGTTTCCACTATGCTCAGTAGCTTGCCATGTACATTTGTGGACTTGAAACGCAGAGAGGAGTTGACCATGACGACATGGTTTTGCAAAGAATGATTCCAGAAAGCGGGTAAGACAAAAAACAGAAGCAAAAAAATTCAAGTGGTGCTCGCTGCAGAGCCATTTGGGCGAGCTGAGCTCCAGCGAGGGGGAGCTTGAGCTCCACCTTTTTTGCACTTCTTCTACGAGTGATGTCACTGGGGGTAGGGTTAGGGGTGGGGTTGGTGTACGCATTAAAACAGCTTACAGGAGGCAGAACGAGAGCTCATGCTCCCCCTTCGCTGGAGCTCAGCTCTGCTCAAATGGCTCTGCAGCGAGCACCCTCTCAAAAAATTTAATAAACGAGTAAGTTACAGGTTAAAACTTGGTAAAATCAGCCGAGGCCTTTTCTTTTTCTGGATTGCTGGATTGAGTTTAGGTAAGTGGGCGCTGGTCAATTGGTGCTTTTGAAAACACTATTGGTTGGGTTTAGGGGAGGATGGTGGTTCAGTTGATTAGTCAGTCAGTCAGTCATTCAGTCAGTCAACAGCGGCCTCTGGTGGATTTATGTGAGAAGAGCAGGCGCAATTGGCACTCGTGAGAGAAATTTGAGATCTGAAAAACCATACACAGTGGCTTCTGGTGGTTTCGCGAAAACTGCAAAAAATCTTATCTCTTGGGACATATTTCATGGAAAAATTATTTAGCTAGAAACTGAACTGCACATTTATGAATCCACACATGCACAGACACACACACAGACACACACACAGACACAGACACACACACAGACACACACACAGACACACACAGACACACACAGACACACACACACACAAACACACGCACACACACGCACACACACACACACACACACACACACATTTATGTCTCAATTCTATACATGTATAAAAATCTGCCTGTTGTCATTAAGTGTTGCTAACATGTATACTTATAAATGATTTTAAAATAAAATAATGAAAAATAGTCATTCTGATTTATGTCTAAATATTGTAGAATATTTTCATCACTGTGTATTAATTGATTACAGTGTTTTTATATCAGAGGTGTACGGCGTGTCTTTAAAAGCATACGCTGCGTGTATTGGAACGTGCCCTTGCCGGTTGCCAAGCGACTCACCTCCTCCTCCTCCTCCTCCTCCTCTTCTGTCTGTTTCTCCCTGCAGGAGTGAGTGGGAGCCCCCTGACAAGAAAGTGGACACCAGGAAGTACCGCGCTGAACCCAGGAGCATATTTGACTACGAGCCAGGAAAGTCTTCAGTGCTGAGGCTGGACAGACCGGTACGATGCTCTTTATTAATGCTTGTGTTTCTAAGTGGAGCTGTGGATCTGTGCATGACGTTTGATGCTGGTTTCTGTCTGATTCACTCACGAGGATTGAACACTTCCAGTTCTGTCTCTCTGTAGTGTGAGAGATTGATAAGACTAGACACTGCAGGCAAAAAAACACAGCTTTTCATGCAATTATTGTGACATTTTAAGCTTTATTTTGGCTTTTGGTGTTTTTTCTCAGTCTAATGTAATGAAAACATTTAAATGTGAGTTTTAATTCTTTCATTTGTTGCACTTTACTGTAACGTGTACTTTTCTTGCTTACATTTTTTATCTTGTTTCTAATCTGAATATTTTAAAAATTCTAAAATTAAGAAGCATTTTCTTGACTAGCAAAAAAACTGTCTTGTTTTAAGAAATACTATTCCAAAATTAAATGAGTTTTTTCTTAAATCGGCACTTCAAAATAACCTGCCAATGGGATAAGCAAAATAATCACGACGATATTAAAAACAATATTATTTTGCTTAATTTTGGCATATTATTTCTTAAAACAAATTAATATTTTTAGCATGTCTAGAAAATGCTTTTTGATTTAATTTTTAGATATTTACACTAGCAACTAGACAAATAACTTTAAGTAAGAAAACCATTTTTTGCAGTGTTTATCAGTTACAAAACATATGGGCTGTTTGTTCCTTTTTTCTACTTCACTGAGCCATAAATCTCTACTTCAGAGGCACTTACATGCACCAAACTTTTACAATTCATATCTACATATTAAAGGTTGGTTGCAGCACAGGCTCATTGTGAAAACATACCCCCGTATACATTTCTGGAGAGCGCAAATTATGTAGCCAGAGCTACAGTACATATGGCTGCGTTTCGTCTTTAAAATTAATGCTACGAGGCAGTATCAGAGGCAGACTTAACCCCGACCAATGCCAAGAAGCATATATTAATCATATAGCTCTTATTTATATGTCGTTAAATGTGTAAATAACTGTTAATAGAAGGGTCTGTTCAAATAAAATAAGATTGTCCAGTGAAAATGAATGGCGGCCGATTCACAAACAGTCATTATTTAATTCATTTAGTTTGATTGATCCTGAATTATTTTTGTTTAAGTGTTTTTTTTATTTATATCAAAATCTATTCACAAAAATGTCCAATTAAGTTTAAATAGTTGTAAATTAGTTAGTTAAAACTTGTTTTTTATTTGTTAATGTATTGCATTTAATTTTACATTAAGAAGACAAAGGTTCCAGGAAATATTAAAATAAATAAAATATACTTAAAATATTTTTATATATATAGTTATTTAAATACTTTTAACATGCAGTTTATTTACAATAATTATAACAATCTACAAAAAAAATCTACTGAGAAAGAGAATGTTTTGAGTTTCAATGCTAGGGCCCCATACCCAGAATTGCTTAGGGCTCCCAAGTCACTAAGCCCGCACCTGGGCGGTATGATGCCATGACCGCTAGTAGCTTGCTACGCACTACGGTGGACTTAGGACGCAGAGAGGAGTTGACTGCGACGACGGGGTTCAAATCTGGCAAAGAACGGTTCCAGAAAGCAGGTAAAACAAAACTAAAAGAAAAAAAAAATAAACAACTAAATTACAGGGTTAGAATGTGGTAAAATCTGAAAACGTGATAAAAAAACAGGTGGCCACGGGAGCTTTTCTTTTTCTGCGTTGCTTTTGAAAACAGGATCTGTTGGGTTTAGGGAAGGGGGTGGGAGATCTGAAAAAGTGTACACAGCAGCCTCTGGTGGATTCACGAAAACAAAAACTGCAAAAAAAAAAAAAAAAAAAACATACATTCTGGGACGTATTTCACGCTGTACAGAAATGTAGTATAGAGGTACATATCAATATGGAGCCTGGGTTAATTTTTTTTAAGAGGGATATAAACCTAACCTGTTTGTTATAATTTGATTTTATACAAAATTGTATTCTACAATTTTTTAAATTATATTTCTTTTATGCTCTTCACAATATTTTCTGAATTAAGAAGTTATTAAAAAAAGATTCCCAAAATTGATACTGTATGTCAAAAAAATTAAACAAGAATTTTGAACATGACATCATCCGATGTTTCAAATTAGCACACGTTAAATTAAATACTGCCTCATTTGCATAGTTAAACATAACCAAAAACTTGTAGAAAACTTGTAATACGCATTTTTAAAATCTATTCTTAACGTAACCAGTCAACTGGGAAATCTGGTGATAATTAGTTCTTTTTTTACCCTGTTCACCTGCAGTGTCTTGTCTTTTATGTAAGTGACCTCGGTAGGTAACTTAACACTGGCAACCTTATAAAGTAGCATGATCTGAAGTGTCTGTATCTGAATACAGTAGGAGGAGCCCTTTCTCAGCTATAAAAAGAGCATCAGTAAGTGACACTTGTAGTGCCCAGACTCTTTGCCGTCTGGTCTTTTTCATGGAAGGTTTGATACTGTGACATTCAGCGATTCGGTCTTGTTAGCGTGACTCATTCTGTGAGCTGCTGCTATTACATAATGTCTTTCTGATGACATACGGCTGTAATAGCTTTATTGTAGAAGTCAAGCAAAGCATGGTGGATTCTGGTCAGTGAAACTACTGAAGCAGAGAAAGTGCGAGATGATGTGTTAGGTCTTTCTTTTTTCCCTAATTGTTAAGGGAACTAATTAAAATGGCTCTGGGTCAAGTCCAATGTAGGACAGAATATAATGTGCTGCCTGTGTTTCCTCCTCTAATTTAGCTTTGCAGAAATAGTACTTGGTGTTTTACTTTTTGGTGAAATTTGGTGTAGTGTATTTCATTTAAACTGTAAATCATTTATTGATTGTGAGGATTTTAAGATGTTTTTAAACACTTGTAACAATGAAAAACAATTGGATCAAACTTTATAATAACTGCACACTATGTATCATTTATTAAGTGTTACACAAAAATAGTTAATTCATCATTTGTTAAGTATTGACTAATGTATACACCAGAATGCAGGGTAACACTTTAGTTAAGGTCCCAATGCACAGTATCAACAAAGCATTTACTAATTATCTTAATAAATTACCTATTAGCTTTTTATTATGTTAGCAAGATAGAAGTTGGGTTTAGGTTTTGGGTAGGATTAGGGATGCAGAATAAGATCATACTTTATAACTACAAATGAACAGTTAATAGCTTAATAATAGGCAGATAATAAACCAGTAGGTAACAGCATAAACTGTGACCTAACCTTAAGTGTTACCGAATGCAGTTTATAAATACAGCTACAAATGCTGACTTATAAACACATATATAATGTGCTTAATGATTATATTTTCATAATTTGCTAATGATACATTTTTCATGATTAAATGAAGTATTGGGATATTTACAAACCAGTTTATTAGGAGTAGTTGGTTCTTTTAAAGATCATTCAGAAGTAAGTAATTAAGTAAACTTTGTAAGTAATTAATAAATTATTCTAATAAACATGCATGCATCTTATTTTCCAGGCGTATAGAAATGGTTTCTCTGTATGCTAATAAATGCTTTATTAACCCAAATTCCTACTGTTTTGTGAGGTCATCTAAAGTTAGGATTATTGATGCTTTATAAATCCCTTATGAATGACAATTAAAAGCTCAGTTACAACAGTGAACAACTGTATTAAATGCAAAATAAGTCTTTGCAATCTTATTTAGAAATAAAAATAGTATAATGTTTAAACATTGCTGAATAAAAGAAGTGGCATAAAACTAAATCTGACAAAACAACAATATAATCATTTAACCATATGAAAAAAATATTTCATTTAAAAAAACATTTCAGGGTTTTTTTTTTTGTCAATGTTTAAACTGTAAATGATTAATTCATAATGTACAGTTATTATAACGTAATCAATTGACATCATTAGCAGAAGTATAAAATTGTGGATTTATAATATTCAAATGTTTATTTTTGTCGTTAAGTTGTTATACAACCTACATGATTTTACTCTAGATCTGATGGATGATTTTCCATCATCATTACTTTGCCATCATGAGATCTTTATGCTTTGTTTCCTGCTCCTTTGATTGCTGATATTATCATCACACTTAGCCATCAAGCCGGAAACAAATCCAATTCATGTTTCCTTCACTGTGTTTGGCTGGAGTCTGTCTTACTGTCTGAGATCATGACGTTCAGAGGTAGTTCATATAACATCATCATTCAGTCTCATTATCTGTGTATTCTGAACCTTCCTCTTTCTCTCTCTTTCTCTCTTCTTTGTCCTTCTTTTCCTTGTTGCCATATTTCTGTAGGACATTAGTCCAGAAGATGTAGATTTAGAGAATGAGCCTTGGTATAGATTCTTTTCTGAGATGGATTTTGGCAAAGCGGTAAGTTAGCAGTATTAAAGTGACCTGTTTTTAATAAATAAAACTGCATGTCATTCTTTTATTTTTGTCCAGTACCCTATATATTTAGTTTAATGTCTGTCTATAAAAACATTCATGTGCCACTTTCTGTCTCTACTCACCTCTCATCTATGTTTTCATCCAGCCCATTGTAGCTCCGTGCATAGCAATACAAAAGCAATGGCATGTTACAGTAGGTTTTTCTCATGCACTGAATTATAATGTTCACAATTATAATGTGCCTCATATTCACGCTTTGAATTATTTGCGGTATTTTCAAGTTGCATGAATGTTCATGGTCAGCATGTCAAGGACAAAAATGTCTATTGAAGTGGAGAACAGGTTTCATTCTTACCTTTTTTATCTCACAAATGACATTAAGAAAAAAAAACTTGATAAGACTTAATATATAAAATATGAATTTGCAATGCTAGAACCTATACTGTATGTAAAGGGCTGGCATATCCAATCAGTGATACTGACAATGCAAATATGCAACTAAGGAGGTTAACTCAGTGTTTAGAGTTGTAATGTGTGCAAAGTCAGATTTATTTTTCAGACAATATTCCAAAGCATAATATTTCACTTTTTACTGCACTACTTTCCATAAATGTAGTAGACAAATGTAGATAAAAAAATATAGTAAAAAGTTATTGTGAACCAGATTTATCTTCAACCATTTAAAGACGATGACGATGATGATGATGATGATAATAATAATACCAATAGGAGTTAAAATGATTTAAGTCCAATGAGGGTTTTTTTGTAAAAATTTAGTATTTGTCCATTAGTAAATCTGCAAAGTGTTACAAAAATATATTTTTTTACCATTTCAGGCCACCAGTAAACCAGAATTTCTATGCAGTTATAACGTGACCAGTTGCTTGAAGTAGTTAACCGCTTCAATGCTTTTTTAAGAACTATGTTACAGCTTATGTGCTTTCTGGGTTTATTAAAATTCATAGTTTCTGCTAGGGCTGCACAATTGTGGCTAAAATGAGAATCACAATTTTTTTTTTGTGTGCTTAGAATCAAGATCCTGATTTTCTCACTATTCTGTAGATGTAAAAGAAGCCTACTTAATATGAGTAGGCTGTTTTTGTTATTTCTCAGAAATATGGTAAAACAACAGTGATAATATTGGGCCTATGTGTAGCTCTACTGTTAGTTAAAATTATAGATTTTATATAGACTTTGAATGGTGAACTTGAATAGACTTCAAATATGTCCTGTTTGTTACAACTATTCATGATTCTAAAGTTGACTTACTGTTTTCAAAACATATGCTTGTCATTTGTCGTTGACAACATTATTAGACAACATTATATTGGCTAAAATAGTTATATGCACAGTAAACATTTATTTTATTGCACAACACTTTGTGTTCGTTTTGAAAGAAAAACAAAACATATTAAATGCTTGTCGAAATCATTACTTTAAAATGTGAAATGATCATTTAAATGAAGTTCACATTGCTGTAACAGAAATTAGCTCATTTTATGAATATTAATAAACAACAATAATGGTTTATTCTTAATTATTAATATTCCGGCTTAAGCTTCAGTCAGTTTGGTCAAACAAACATATGATTGTATATGATCCTGCCTGCTCGAGCGAGCGGATACCCAGATTATGAATATTAATTATCAACAATAACGGATTATTATTAATCATTAATATTCCGGATCAATTTATTGTTAACTTGACCAAACAAACACAAGCAGAGCCGCCGCTCTTCCGAGCGGACACGGTAATGATCTATTCATTTAGGAAAAGGGAATTTAATTGCTACTTCTTGCGAAGTAGATTAATCATTCAAAAGTTTTAAAAAACTTATATTAGCTAGGCAGGGGAATCTGTATTTCAGTGACATTTTCTCGTGAGGCAAACAATACAATTCATTTGATTATAATGGAATTTATTGACTAGTCGGACATAACGAACAAACAAACGCACAAACATACATTAAACACAGAACAAAGGTAAACCACGCGGAGATATCGGGTCTATAGAAGTGTAACAACAAAAAGGAATAGTAAAGCGAGGAGATAGAGATTTCAGATAAAAGAGTGACCAAACTTTCAGTTCCACCCGCACCATTCAGGACCACCAAGATTATAAAAAACACCTTTTTGATAAAAGGGGCACAGCTTAATCGCATAACTAAAAGTACCTGGACTGAATGTCTGGGATCTCTCTCTTTATGCTTCCGTCCTGATGAAACTCCTTTGATGTCCTTCTTGATGCGTTGAGTTTGTAATACAGTTCTGAGGAACGCGATCGCAAACTTTAAACTGAGTTTACTTTGCCGGAAAATAAAGAAAGCGTGGCGGTAAAAAGTCCATGCGGCGTAGAAAAGCTGCGTGGCCCGAAGGCCACCTTTTTGTGAGTTCTTTGTTCGGACCTTCTCTGGGGGATGTTTGGGGAGAAGTCTGGTTATACCTGCGGGTCACGTGACAACCCGTTCAGCATTCTGACCAATGATTTCAGGACAAAAGTTTGCGCGCGAACCTTCCTTTGTCTCGAGGCTCCTCGTATGCAAATTTGAGTGTCCGCCCAAAGCATGCAGACAGGCATTTAATACAGGGGATTAAAGAATAAAGCAATGCGAGTTATGGTCTTGCTCTATGCATCATGTGTTGTAAAATGTCAGCAGAAACCCATCGGTACCAAACATGGGGGGTTTAAAAGTACATCAACATGATTTTTCACATCCTCATATTATTTATGCTTTAAAAAGGCCTAAAAGGAACAGGCATACAGGTTATAAGAGAGGTTACACAGGTAAGAAAAGTCAGAAATGAGATGCAAAGTTTATACAGTAAAACATAACACCTTAGTTTTGTGCTGGTTCAGGATTTGATGAGTTCATTTTCTTTCTGTCGGGACAGCCTCGTGGGTGTGTGTGTGTGTGTGTGTGTGTATTTGGGCAGGAATGTCTTTGAAGTTCCCTGCTTATCTCTCCAGTCCCCCTGGACAACTTAAGCTGTCACGAAAATCCAGACTTCTTGGAGCCAGGAGTCGTAAAACCCATGCGAAATACTCAAATCAAATAGTAAATATCAAATACTAAAATCAATAAGTAATTTTATCTTTGGACTGTACGCTACATTGCTTTCACTTTCAATGCCGAATGCAGCTCATGGCTGCCGTTACTGTGAGAAAAAAAACACACACACGCAAATCACTTACTTTCCACACGGCTCTCAAACGATCGCTCTGTGCAACAATCTAAACATTATTTAAAACTTTATTACCTGTTATTCACAGCCTATGCAGGTTCTGTTCACTAAAGTAGCCGTCATTGGTAGTAAACAAAAAGCTTGTATTCAGCTCAATTGTGATTTGCGGCTGCGAATACATCATTACATTAAGACAGAAATGACATTTTTGGGTGAATTATATATTATAAAATTAGTATGTGACACTTTTAACACCATTTGGAGGTGTCAATGTTGCTGTGAATACTTGTGTGACTGCCTTTATGCTTCTCTCCTGACCTTGAAATTATATGGCTGAATCGTAGAAAAGCTGTATTAAGATCGCGTGTAGAGTCAAATCGAGATCGCTATATTTTATCTATTAATCATGCAGCCCTAGTTTCTGCTAAAGAATGATGTGCAAAACAATGTCCAATATACAGTTACTTACAAAGTGCAATATCACCTCACGGTAGCTGGGGTGTCACTTTGGACAAAGACACATGTCAGTTTTTTTTTGGCACTCAGTTAAAGCTGCTTTCATGTTTTTTTTTTGTTTTTTTTTTTCGCATTGCAGCACTACTCTTTTACATCTTATACATATGCACACTGAGTTTGGTGCCGATATCTCATTGTGTTTAAGAGTTAAAGAATGGAAATGTCAACTCTTAAAAAAAATATTAAACTTTTGATATTTCAGACTCTTGAGTACTGTATATGACTATGCCACTTTGGTTCAGATTCAGTGGTGTAGCGGAAGGGCCCCGTGTGATTACGGGGCCCCACATCGTTGCGATTTTCAATGATTGAAAATCCAGGAACCGCAATAATCAAACTCTTGGGAACAACTGTGGTCGGAACCAAAGTTCACAGAACTGTGTTCTCTGAACTCCTCTCAAGGTGGACTACTTCATTCTGATTGCTTGCCGCCGAACCGCGTCATAGCCAATGAAGACGCGCCGCTGTTTCTCGCCGCCGGTTCTCGTTAAAAAATGAATGACTTCTGGCTACTTTGACGCTCTCGCCGCTTTCGGTTTGTGATCGCTCCTCAGTTTGTTAAGGATTCCCCGCGTTGTCGCTCCACCCCGCCTCATTTCCCCGCTCCTCAATTTGTGACATAGATATATACACTAGATATCGCATAGGGACCCTGAGCATGCGTCAATAGCGCCGCCACATTGGTACAGTGCTTCCAGGACAAATGTCATTCAACCGCACTAGTCAAGACAGTGTTATTACGTGAAGATGCGGGACTTTAGTGATGTCTACGGGTGTAGTAACGAGCAAACAAAGAAAACAAAGCACAAAGGCAGAACATTTCATAGGTACGATTAAGTTTTTTTATGTTTTGGTATGTTCTGAAATTTGTGCTAAACAGATAGGCTAGTTAGCGTTATTGATGATAACAGTCACTTACTGCATTCATCATAAGGCAAAGCAGCTCCAACTCGCACTAAATACTCGGCTTATGCTAGTTTTGTTAAATAAAATCAGCAAACAATGCAAAAGAAATATGACAACGAGATGCTGCGCTGTCAGAAACTTGTATTATTGTCGGCGAGTGAAGGAGTCGTTCATAACGGAGATTCATTCACAAACGAATCACTCCCTCTGTCAGTATGAGAAGATGAAAAACTAAAATTTTTATAAAAAAAAAAAAATTACATACTAACATCCAGGATAACTCCCGTTCATAGGTATATGTTTATATCTCTGGCTCTGACACCCCCCCCCACCCTCATCCCCACCCCTGGCCTTCATCTGGGGGCCCCTTCGGTGATC